GCTGGCTGGATCTAATCAGGCACTGTAGAGGGCAGCCCGTGGGGGCCTCCAGAGGTCAGCCCTGAGGAGCGAGCGGCCGCCGAGTACAGAGCCGCATCTGTAGCGGCTCTGCACTCTGTACGTGGCGGCGGAGGGAGCCGCTGCACCGGCGGCCGGAAGATTCTTTTAGCGGGGGCCAGTGGCGGGCCCCTGGACGGCCGCGGGCAGCGGCCATTTTTGAAGGCAGCAGAGAGGCCCGGGGGGCAATTGCCACCCGGCCCAGTCCGCCCCTGGAGCTTCCATGACACTGTGTTTGCAAAGCACTCTTGGCTTTCTATAAAGACATCCCAGCAGTTGCTGCTTACTTTTGGATTGTGTCTTTCTAATTGATGCTTTACAGAGCACTGTGAATTATAGATGGGGTAAGGGAGGCATGCCTCTTCACTGATCATGCAGCTGTGTTTATGTTCAGAACAGAGCTAAACCACATGGGATCAAATTAAACTCTCTAAAGCGAAAGTAAAGAGCTGCAGACTGCAAACTATGCAGGAGATGAATGTAGAGGCTATGATGGAGGGAAATATGTGCAGGAAAGAATTGTGGAGGGTATAATAGTGGGTAGCATGTGCAGGAGGGGAGTGGGGATGGTATGACAGCCTTCTGTATGTGAAAGAAAGGGAGGAAGGGCATGTTAGCATGCAGTATGTGCAGGAGAGGAGTGGGGAGGGCATGACAGCAGGTAGTATGTGCAGGGGGTGAGTAGGGAGTGTATGACAGCCGGCAGCATGTGCATAAGAGGAGTGTGGAGGGTATAACAGCCGGCAGTATGTGCAGGAGAGGAGAATGTATAACAGCAGGCAGTATGTGCAGTAGAGGAGTATTGCAGGTATGACAGCAGGGTTGTATGTGTAGAAGAGAACTGTGAAGGGTGTGATGACAGGTAGTATGTGCAGGAGCGTACTGTGGATGGTATGATGGCCAATGTTTGTGAGAGGAGTGGAAAAGTGTGGGAGGAGAGGTTGGAATAAGATACATGTTTTTATTATCTGGTTGAATGTGTTTTTTTCCTACTGTGGTAATATTTTCTATGTATAGAGGCATCAGAGGTCTATTAGACACCAGATCTGTCAGCCAGCTATAGCTCATACCGGTAGTAGCACAACATGTACAGTAGACATTGTAGAGGAGCCATCAATTTGCAAAACACAGGAATCAATTTATAACAGAGATCTGTTCCTTACTATAAACTGCTGTGTTAGTCTACACACCGGCCTACGGTTCATTCATAAAATGCAGGTTCGGGTGTGGAGCCTGTGGTCTGTCACTGAGTTCTCTCTGCTTAATGCAGCATAAAGTATTTAATTATTTGAGGAGAGGCCGGTAATATAACCTTGATAGGTCAAGTAACTGGGCTCTTCTCCCTACTTTTTTTAACGTTCATTCATTTTTAATAGAGCTTCACTGGCTTCGAAATCCCATAAATTTTTTTTTAATGAGGTAGTTTGGCATTAATAAGGCTACACTACTACTTTGCTAATGGAGCCCATAGTATCATATATCCCTGTTATATAATGGACCTTACAGGCATTTGATGAAGTTAAATCCCAAATCCAGCCAAATATTTGTCAAGCTTTTATTGCTCCTTGTGTCTTAACTGGGAAGATTTCTATTCACTTCCTGTCTCCAAGATAGAAAGTGAGGGAAAGTTTTGTGAGCAGGGACAGCAATAAAAAACATGATATGTGTTCTTACCCTTTGTACAATTCGGAACTTTAGTCTGTTTTTTTCTCTCTGTGCATTTGAGAAGATCTCCCTTACTTCCTGCTACTGTGAGACCTGTATAGGAAATAGGGAGGTGGCAGGAGGGCAGTTGTTTCTGGAACAGGAAGGCAAAGACGGCACTACCAAAATTGTCAAAATGTGTTTTTGTTGGAGAGATTTTCCATCATTTGCTCCCCTGATAGAAAGTAGAATGGAAAAGAATGGAAAAACTAAATAGAACATTCTGGCTGGAGTTGGGCTTTAAGTTGTAACATAGTCAGTCATTGGTATGGCTACAGATCAGTAAAATCCCAATTCTGGGCATTTTTTTAAAATGGTGCCCCAGCCATAGTAAAAATAATAAAGCATGTAATGAACAAAACACACGTAATGAAGGAAACCGTTGAGATCCTCTGGAATGTAAAAGCTGTCTGTCCGGTAGTCAGATCACCTATACCGACTCTTTCACTTTATAACTGCCATACCAATAGGATAAACATTGCAGGTCCAGAGCTTTAATTCCACTTCTTTGCAGTACCCAACATGCTGCTTCAGAATGTACAATAAGCGCATACTGTAAATGTAGATACATGCAGATAAGTGCACATACAAATTCATTCCATTTGACATTCCCTTAGACTAAAGTCATAAATGAACAGATGTCACCAGCACACCAAAGTCAAGTGTGGTGGTGTGTGCTAGTGACATACTGTATCTATTTGGATTTGAGAGGCGCCATTCGCAGTCACTTCAGCACTCCGAGTACAAAGGGTATACCTTCAAGGAGTGTGATGGGATATCTGTTGGAGAAGTCACAAACAGGCACATATATGACACCACAAACTAAAACAACAACAGAAACTAAGGTGTGAACCCCCTCAGAGGCTGAACTCTGGGCTCTGGTCCCACCCCTGCTTCCCACTTTCAGGCCTGCAGGTGGCACAAGAAGCTGAAAAGCTGAAGCAGAGAGAGGGGTGTCATCTGCTTAGCTATTCATAACAAAATGATTCCTCCTTTGCAAGGTTAAACATTTCACATGCATGTATTTTAATGTTAAATTAAGCTGTTTGCCTGAAATTCTGCTTAAACACAGATTAAATTCAAAATGTAATAATAAATAAATGTATTATTATTATTTAATTTTCATTTTTTCATTTTAGGACATGTATTTGTTTTTCCAGTGGATGTTACACTCTGCTGCTATTTTAGCTTCAAATAGCCCTTACTGGGGTTTTTTAAAATCTTCCTTTGAATTCTCAGCCATAACCTCTTTCTTATTACAAAACTTTTATCACATTTAGCTCAGTTCACTTTTCCCCTTTTGCCCTTGTTGTTCCCAGGCAGTAAATCATGGTTATTATTTTACATTTTGCATGCCGCCCTCTGCAGTACACGCATTATGTAATATTAAAATTATTAACTGCCACATTGCGGGATAAGTGACCTACCCATGGTGTCAAATCCTCTTAACCTTTGTAACAACTTTACAGGCAAGTCTCACTGGGAACATATGTATAATTTTTCTTAATTATCTTCAAGGCGGCATCGTTTCTGTAATCTTTTCGGTTCATCTGCCTTTTGTCAGCACGTACGTGTTGGAAGGAAAATGAGGTGTTAGGAGTATAGCAAGTGACACGTTATAGAACCTGCATCATTACCCTGTGAGACTCATCTAGGATAGAGCAGGGTGGAAATACCAGAGGTCTTCTCCGCAGCGCTATGAACCGTAAAATTCTGCCGCGGTTGTAAAAAGGATCACTGCCGGGAAACACGGATCGGCCACTAAGTTGTGGATAGTGTTTAGCTTCTAATAGGTTTGATTATTCAGCTATGATGACCTCTTTATTAGGACAGAATGTTTCATTTTCTGGTGTTTTTCACTGATTTAATGTCTTTCTACTAGGCTGGCATGATCCTGAGTAAAGCATTGCCACAGATCTGCCTGACTGTGGGGGAGCCCATTATTCTGAGCACTGCAGATGGTGCCATTATGGAAGGTTATAGACTCGCACTTCAGAAAAGGTAAGACTGCTTAGCTGGTGACCAGGGATGGCAGACAATATTTTTTTTTCAAAGGTACACAGGCCAAAGCTCTTACGTCTCTCTCCATATCACCTGTGAGATGACAGTGACTCGGTCTGGACACTTTCGGCTGGATTGGATTTCTGTTAATGATGCTGACTAGCCACTCTTAGAATCAGACAGGGTAGAAAACCTGACCCGGTTGCTATCTATGATCGCAGCTGCATCTTCTTGCTTCTACTCCCCTCTCAATTGACACACACATCAATGTCAGGAAAGCTTAGGGAGCAATCTAAAGTTGAAGATTGTTTAGCCTGGGTTATACCTGCACGTCTGACCGCACTCTAAAGTCTGTGGCTAGCTGTAAAAGGTTAGCCCACCAAAAACTGGTATTTCAATATTTTTTTTAATACTTCAAGTTTATTTCAAACCAAGAAAAAATAAGGATATTGCAGATTAGCGGTTCTTAGATGTGGTGGCTGCATTAGATTTCTTTATTCAGGCTTTTTACTTCTGTTTTCACCTGGCGATCCTGCCAGTAACACACTTCCTTTTTCTTTGGGTATAGTGACAGAGTTTCTTTTTATGCATTGCAGACACCTCCATTGCCAGCCTTATCTCAGGGAACTGAAGCAAGTGACTGGAAAAATCAATTTCTCTGTTAAGATCAATTGGCCCAGAGGGTGTTTCTACAGCCCATGGTCAGCCCTTACGAAAATACTAGTTTTCCAGTTTAACCGTTATTGGCCATATGGAATGATGTTCATCCTGTGTCTATGGGTAGTCTAAGGCCTTTTTCACACCAAATGCAGACCAGATCCGGTCAGGTTTCTGCACACGCAGTGTAGTGGGTTGTGCCGCGTTTTAGACGCGTTTTGGATGCGTTTTTGATGCGTTTAGAGCCGGTTTTGGTAAAAAAAAATATATATATATTTTTTTTAAGTTTAACATGGACTTTCAGGCACTTGCATGCGTTTTTGATGCGTTTTAGCGTTTTAGATGCGTTCCAGACCAGATCCAGAGCAGGTAAAATAGGGCTTGCCGCATTTTTTTCATACGGTCTGGATCTGGTCTGGATCCGCACGCTGCGATGTGAACTGGAGGTCAAAATACCATAGGAATACATTGGACGCAGTTTTGATCCGGTCTGCACCTGCTCTGGTC